CTCTAATATTTTCCGTTGAGAACGCGCCTTTGATTTCCAAAAAGAATTGCCTATATTAAGTAATGTAATCAATTTACGTTCACTTCGTCAATGACGTAAGCCAATTTTGTACCACCGAACCCCCTAATTGTACAACATTGCGATCTGCTAAACATGGAAATGTATAAAGGCTGAGTAATTAACCTCGGAGAAGGTTCAGATATCAGGGCATCGTTATTATCTCATTTAATTTAAATCTAGAGCGGCGTAAATAAATATAATTGAAATAGATTAGGGAGGAAACGTATTTAAGATTGTATTATAATAAAAGGTCTCGTGCAGTTCGCCGTTTAGATACGGAGATAGTCTCCACTTCAAAAAGGAATGAAACCACCGTAAAATGAACGTGAAATGAATATTTAGCTTGTCATAACAGATGTGGAAATGTACTAAACGGGAGCTTTATTGTACGACGAGCAGCGGGAGCCCCCATCGCCTTGTTTATATATAATTAGGCTCGCTCTCATTAAATGCAACAAAGCACTCTCCTTGCGCGAACCGAACTTGTACATTTTTTCCAGAGGAAAATTGTTGAATTTCCTAATTCCTTTTGTTATCGGTGGGTCCAAGCGAAATTCGGGCGACGCGATGCAGGTGACAAGAAGATAAACCGCCCCATGCTCGTTCAGACGTTTAACGTTAAATTTCTAAAAGGAAACGGCTACTGCAATTAATTAAGCACGGAAGAGCTTGTAGTTTAATATAGGTAGGTATTTCAATAGGACGCCAGGACGCAGATCCTTTATTAGCCATTTGGGTAAAAAAAATCCGCATACAATGATAAGGTAAAATAAAATTATGTAGCAATATCCAAATATTATTTGTAAATATCCGGTATTATGTGTTGTAATATTCCTCCGTTAGATGTCGCCGTTTGAAACTAAATCCTAAATCCCTTCTCAATCTCCCATCTGTGTTGTACTTCTCCTTCTACTTATAAAAGTGTGATTGTTAAAACTTCAGGAGATTTAATTCCTGCACCTCTTACCGGCCAGAAACCAGAACCATATTCCATACGTCAGCATTATTACATCCCAGAAAATAAACCCAGAATTCCTTTTCATTTATTTCCGTTTGTTTTCATTCACAGAGAAGTTACATTTGTTCCTGGTGTCGATAAAACTTGTACGGTTAAAATCCTGCGGGCTTTCACCTATGTGATACAGCACAGTATCTTGGGTTCTTGCATTCGGTCGATAGATCGGACTGGAACCCAAGTCTCATCGTCTCCGTGCTTGCCGTTTCATTTAACTGACCTTGAAGAAAAATCGTTTGAACCGTATGGAAGTGCCCTTTAAGGACTATCACCAGGTGAATCCTTGCCGATCATATTTGGGAACCGTTTAAGTAATTTAGAGTCTGGGTTGTACGCACCTGTGTCGGGGTGTTGCCGGAACTGCGGAGCCGCATGCGTAATAACTTCAGGTGCAAAACCTCAAACCTCTTCATCTGAAGAAACCTGACCTGTAATAATTTAACGCAAAAATGACATGCGGATTTCCAATCCACCCGAAAATAGTATCGTTTATTTCCCATTTTTCGTACTTGAAGATTACACCACCTCCATTCATAAACTCCACGTCGTTGATCACCGCAGTCGCTCGCTTTTTCACCACCATCGCCCGACCTCCAAATACGTGCATTCGTTATCTTGCACGTGGCGTTGTTAGTAAATAAGGTCAATTAATTTTTCCGATGTCTTTTTACAAAACACCTGACCAGATAACACTTTTATCTTACGTCGAAATACGATTAAATGTTAGGTACTTGTCCGTTCCAACTTCCAAGATTTCACTAAGTACAACAAAAATACAATCAAACAATTTCTAAATTTACAATAAAGACTAACATTGAAGTGAAAATTTATTAAAAGTTTCAATGCTCTGTCCATTTGCAAGAAACCACCCCAAATTGTTCCATCTGTAGATGGTTAGTTTGGCTTTAATCGAGTCCAAATTACGACCTAGATGTTAGATCAGAGTTCTCGTGCTAATTTTTTCTGTCAGTACCCAGGGTTTTTTGCTAGGTGTTCTTTGTAATGCAATTGTTTAAAATTACAGTTGATCAAGGCTACTTAGTTTTCTCAAATTTAATAAAATGGTTTTATCGAAATTTGGGTAGAAGCGGAATCTTGAAACTATAAGCAAACTAACTAGTTCGCAACATTCGGTCTCCCCAGTTTTTTTTATTACAATGCACCTAGAAAGTTTGAAATTTGAAAATTGAGCTGTTTAAATTAATAAACGAAAATAAAAATGGGATAGTTAACCGCCCACTGTAATTGTTATGATACCATTAGCATTTCTAAAAACAATACTTCAAATCAGTTTTCGCCTAAAGTTGCCTCGATTACCATAGAAATTGTTTGAATTCAGCATTACCCTAGGTTGAGGTTTGTATTCGTGGTATATGACGTTAACAGTGTTACACAATTATTCAAAATATGCAGATGAATTTGCTTTCCGTGCTTCACCCAGAAAACTTTCCATAGTTACATGACACTAATACTTCCCTGAGTAACACTCTTGAAATGTGCGTCATATTTCTGAGTAGAAACTTCATTTTCTTAAGAGGTTATGTTAACATTTCTCGAATAAACGTTAAGAAAATTAGAAAATGTTGATGAAAACCATGCATTTACCACCAGTAGGTAGTTCTCTACATGTTTTATATAATTCATGAGTAGGTTATTTACAAAAAAAGCGGCCAAAATGAAAAAGGCGGCGACTAGTGCCCCTTACCCTCTCGGGTCGACAAGGCGGACGATGCGAACATTGGCGGTTGATACGAAAAAGGCGGTCGATGCTAATTGGCAATCAATAGGAAAATGCGGTTGATACCAAGGGCCCCTGGTTCGAATCCGGGTTCGGGCATTGGTATTTGGAATGTATAGTGGATTGGGTTAGTACAGCAGCTTTGGCTGAAACCTCGTCCACACAAACATAAAGGCAAAAATAAAGTAAGTAGTAATAATAAGGCGAAAAAGGCAGCACATGGAATATTTGACAAATGCTCCTTTCGAGTGTACAAGGGGATAGATGCAAAGTTATGGTCGATACGAAAAAGGCTATCTTTCTCAGATGCAAAATATGACCGTTGAGTGACGATATATTACCCCTCTACGGAGTTCTTCTCTAAAGCGTTCAAATTCAGACTGTGTGCGTTTCCAAAAGTGGATTTATCAAAGTGTATTCGCATGGAAATGCTGAACCCGGCATATTTTAATTTTGTAGACGAAAAATATTTCAAAAGAGTTCAAAGTTCAAGGAAGATGTGTTTTTATTAACGGGTTCTTGAACAGTATAATAAATGAGTGATGCTGCTTCCGTAGTTGAGCGTCGGGGTTACAGGAGCTGCTCCCGGTTTCACAAACGAAACTTCTATCTTCAATCTCACATTGGACGAAACTTTCAATACTGGCCGTGGCATCAATAGAATTAATCCACGATGGAACTCGCAAGAAGCGAAATAAGTTCTTCAACGAAACGTAATACTGCGCAAACTCTGGCAAAAAACTGATTTAAAATGTCAGCACTATGGCCGTAAACTTGGCATAAAACTGATTTCAAATCTTCAACGAAACGCAACTCTGCTCTGAACGTAGCAAAAAAACTGATTTAAATTTAAAAAAAAAACGCTTTTCCTGTTAACTTCCTATTTACGGCGAAACCTTTCATCCGAAAATAAAAATTATAACAACCAATCATACACAGTTGACAACAAAGACTATCGCCTCAACGTACGTTAATGGACCAAAAAATAGAGGTCGAATAATAAGTTATAAATCAATTTGCTATCAGAGATTAATAGATAAATCCAAACTTAAATTCTAGGAAAAAATAAAATTTCATCTCTTAACTACACAGAAAAAAAATTTACAATCGATGACAGATAAAGACCCAATAACATTTCTACGTTAAATAAAATAACAATGTAAACAAAAACAACCTTGTCTTTATCCATAATATTTCCTGAAGGTAAAAAACTTTGCATAAATAATCATCCCTATCTTGCTTTGGTAAACAGCAGTGAAATCAGTAGAACATCGAAAAACTCCACAAGGGAATCACATCTCACATTTCCGCACAAAAGCCACAAAACAATGTCCATACCACACGAGATGAAAGCTTAGAAATGTCAAATTTATAATTTTTCACATCGAGAAGAGAGTTTTGTGCAATGGAGGAAGATGCTTCGGGCTCTCAATGAAGGTCGCGTGTTGCGTGAAACGGTTCATAAAAGGGCTTTGTAGCGCCTTTCGTTTTGTGCGTTATGAAAAGAACTACCTACAAGAAATACAGCAGCTGACATAATTCCCTCGTTAAGCCGTTTCGCTACACAATAAACAGACATCTTGGAAACGTACGAAATTTACATAAATCAGATTATGTACAGCGATCTCGTGATCAGGTAAACTTGCTCTATTTACACTGAACTTCCCCGTATTGCAAAGTTGTTTGTCTATTTACCTAATTAAAAGTACACAATGCCGTCGGCAAACACGCCGCTTTTCATTTGTGCGGAAGCACGGCACGTGTAGCGCAAATACACAGAGAGAGGTAGGCACCCACCCCCGAGCGCCGCCGCCAAGTTCTCCATTGTTGTTTAGGCGAATATGACCTCATGTCGCGGTATATTTTCATTACGCTATACACTCCGCTGGGATCGCGCCGAGTACCATAAACTAAGATCAAGGGATGCGTTTCAGCCTGAAAATAGAATGTTGGGGTCGACTATTAGCATACGCGAACCCTTCCATTTCGGACGCCTCATCGGATGATCCCCAAGGCACCCATACTGTTGATTGAAATGTATGAAAGTGGTTTAATGCACGCGTATAACCTAAATAATTAACCGGCGCCACCATCTTGTTACATTACCGCGCCTATCTCGCATTAATTACGCCTCCGTTTCTGTTATTTATTACCTCTAATTATGCTTATCAACGTTCCTTCTTGCAGAGAGCATCGCAAAGTATAACGCGCCCAGGGGCGAGGTGAGGGACGGCGACGTGGATCTTGAGGATGTCAGCTACGACGGTGTTCTGGAAGGTGGATACATGAGAGATGGCTTGGGTCAGCTCGCCGACGGGCTGTATGGAGACGACGACTATCAAAAGCAACTCCAAGGGGAGAATTCAGGTACTTTGTTCCAGTCCAAGATCTTTATTAATCAACTTCAAAGAAAATTAAAATGTGAAACGTACCGATGTAATAATTCCAGCATTTTGTAAGATCCTCAGCGAAATTGCTTTGCTCCGAATTAATCTTATGTTTTGTCACAAAATGTCAAAGGAATTCTACATTTCGCTAACGAATAATTATAATCAATACCTACGGAGGTAGGTATACATCTTGAAAAGCTTAATTTGTTCTCCTAAAAAAAAACTACTGTCTTGAAGTTATGGTTAGACGAAAAATGCAAATCCTGATTGAGCAATCACAGAAATTTTACACTGCTAAAATCCAATTTCCAGAGATTTAACGTAGAAGTTTAACTCCCAAGGCTTTGATCTTCCGTAGTAAACTACGTTTACTGAACTTTATTACCATTCAGTATTCTGAGAAAATCATCAGTAAGCACTTGCATCAAAAGTCGATTCCAATAATGGGATCGATTGAACTAAGTTTATTGTTGAAATGCTGACAGTTTTCAGTTATGATTTCTCAACTTTATACGATTTTTTTAATACACCACGAAATCCATATTTATTTAACGCGTAATGACGAACTCGTTCGATCAGTACATTTACTCTCGTGTTTGAAGGAAGCCCTCTGCGGTTAATTAATTTTACATTCAAATTTTTCGCACGGAAAATCTAAATTTTAACTGAAATGTTGCGATCTCTCCTCGAGGAGAGAAGTTCGTCTTTCATGGCGAACGGACGTGTTTTGAGCCAGCTCCGGCTGATTTTAGTGTCTTTTGTGACTGTATACGTTTAAAAATGTTTGTCCTGTGTGGCCGGGAGCGCACAAAAATTTGTAATTGTTTAGTGCTTATTTGATCGAAATCGGTTCAGTGGTGGAGATGTTACAAATTTTTAAAGTATTAAGTTTAATCTCAAGATGCATAACGCGCGAGACTAATTAAATCGTGAGAAGACAGGGCAGGAACCTCCAATCAACAGAACAAAAAGGGCGTAAAGTTAAGATAAGTGCTTGCTTGCTTACTTACTTACTTACTTACTTAGAATTAAAGCTAAATTTAATTTAAAATTGAACAAAGGGGAAAAGATAGAATAGAGCGGACCAAGTCACTGGGGCTACATTGAATATACCTACTTCGAAGCGGGGCGGAACAAATTGACCCTTGGGAAAGGAAATATAAACTTGTCAACCGGAGACATAAAGAAACTATAGCCATAAATTACCTACAATATTTAAACTTTCGGTTTAATAGGCATGATTGACAAAAAAGGAAACCTTTCTTACCAAATTTAAGCGGCTTTTTTTTCCTGTTTTTTTACACTTTTTTACTACTGGATGAAAGTGAAGAGGAGGAAGGGAACACAGCAGACATATGGGCAAAAACAGTAGGATCGGACCACAAAACGGTAAAGGGGAAAGTCAAGGGGGGGGGGAGAACAAAGGACAAGGAGCACAGCGGGGAAACCGAAGGGTGGGATGTGAAACTTCTGTCAGGGGAGAAGAAAAGAAAGAAGTACCGAAAGGAGCAGTAAGAGATTAGAAGCAAAAAGGGGGAAGGGATACCATATCGGAAAAGATCGGCAAAACGCTCAAAGAAACAACAAAGAATACACTAGGGAAACAGAAACGCCCATGTGACCGAACAGAAAGCGGACCAGAACCCACACTAACCTGAAACAAAGAAGGAGCTAAGGGAAGCCAAGGAAGAAGAAAACGGAGCCTATGAGCAACACGAAATCAAGGAATTCGCCGTGTTCGCGGAGAACATCGCCAAACTCAGACCAATGTAGAGGAATATGCAAATGTAATGGTATAGGCACATCAAAAAATACAAAAGGAGGAAACAAGGGGGAAACAAGGGGGAAACAGAAAATAATATACCAATGACAGCGTGGGCGATGCTGGGACTACCCAAATTCCTAATCAACAGAACCATAAACGCGTGGCAAAGGGAGTATACTAGTATACAATGGTTTTGGAAGAAACCCGAACACCAAAAGAAAACCAGGGGGATCAAAGAAGGATGTCCGCTTCCCCAAAGCTCTTCGCGATAGCACTTGACCACGCTATAGAACAAACAAGGATGGTGGTGACGAACTTTAGCACAGGCGGCCAATTACTACTACCGACATTACTGGCGTACGCGGACGATCTATTTGTAATCCCGGATAATTTATAAGACACTGAGGACATCGTCCAGGCCAGCGTGGTACCAGGTACACCTGGAAATGGTGGACCTACAAATACACAACGAAAAGAGCTACATGATGATAAGAGTGCCAAGAAACAACACCCCCAGTACAAAGAAGGAAAGAAGACCATAATAGCCGAGAAGGAGATAACCATGAAGCACAAGATCAAATATCTGGGAACGTACATAAACAGCACCCTCAGCAGGCACAACGCAGTGCAAGACAGAATAACCAACGCATTCAGAAGCACACACGGAATTTGGAACTTCTTACGAGAGAAGAAAATACCGGGCAGCTGGAAAATGATGATTTACAACACGAACATAGCACCGACAATGTTATACGGAATTAACACTTCAGCGCTAACAAGGAGCAACAGACGAACATTGAGGAGGGCGGAGTGGAAGGCACTCAGGATACTGAAGAAAACAGCAACCTCACAAGAAAGCAGAGAAGAGAACTACTAGAAGGAAAGACGATTACCAGGAGACTGAAGATGATTCAGATGAGATACTGGACATACCAACAAGAGGAACAAAGACCATATCATACGGGCTGCCAAGATTCTGTGTGCCTCGGAATGGAAGGTACGCCGACCCTGCCACACATGGAGCACCACCATAAACCAAACGGTAAGAGGTCTCGGGGATTACCATGGGAAGATGGGAAGAAAAGAGCAAAGACACACATCAAGGAAGAAAGAAAGCAGAAGAATACTGGAGGTGGAGGAAGAAGCCAAAGGGAGGAGGAAAAGGGGACAGAAAGTAACGCAGGGAGAGGACAACAATAAAAAGGGCCTAACACGAGGTAAAACAGGGAAGGGAACGAGATCAAAGGATAGGAACATCGGAAGCCAATGAACGCCCGGAGAAGAAACTATCACTAGAAAGCAGAGTTCCCTCTAAGGCAGAATACCAGTGGCGAAGCTGTGGCCGTACCCGTTCGGGTCGGATAACACCCAGTTAGCCGCCCCCCCCCACAACCCTCCCAATCCACAAAATCCACCACATTGTTTGGCATATGTCGCGGCCCAGCGCGATGGCAACAAAGTAGTGGAGAAACGTCCCTGATAGTGTCTACCAGGGACGCATCCTCACGACAGTTGACTAAATCCTGGGAGAGGCGGCGACGCCAGGCATATGTCAAAGTTTCAAGTTTCGAGTTTCAATGTTGCGATCTCTCCTCGATTGCTGAGAGACTTCATCTATATTATTTTCTAAAGCTGCATGATCTCCTCCTTTATTACTGAGTTCATTCGTCTCACCCTCAACGGCCTGTCATCTTTCACAAAATGGCGATGTCTGAATTCCTTATTGGCTATTGTTTTTCTTACTACCAATCCCACTCAATTGAAAACCTGCACACATAGCAAGTTCCACAGTACGCGTTTATCTCATGATTAAGTGATTAAGTGCAAAGACCAAGAGCCCATTAAAAATGGCTAGTTTTTGTTGACCGCAAATATTCTAACTTTCACTTTGGGCTAAAGTAACAAAATTTCCTTAGATAAACTCACGGCCGGCCGGGATGAATATTGGGGTCCTTAACTACAAGCGAAAATAAATCAAAAGAGAAAAATAGTAATATGAATAAATAGGCGCCACTTAGTCTTCAGTAAACGTCGTGAGAGGAGGAAATACTTACCCAAAAAAAAAACAAGGCAGACTAAGGGATCCTTGTTCTGGTCTGGGGAGCTAAAAGGGAATAAAACACTTGATAGAGATAAAACATACACAATAGTTGACATCACAATAGACGGTGAAACAACGGAGCAATTACAATTCGATGGTATCGAAAACCAATATGTAATCAAACGTTAAAGTAGGGGAAATCTACGAAAATAACAAAATTGACCTTTTAAACTACAGGTCGCAACGGCCTTGTTGAGTTGCTGCAAATCTGTAAACAGACAAAAACAGAACAAACCACAAGAGGGGTAATGATCGCGCTGCACAAAATATCGCGTAACGTCTGACACTGAGACTAATCGTATACTGAGAACTGCAATTAATACTTAAAATGACTCAATAACTCGAACAGACTTTAACCTAGTAAAAGTAAAATTTGGTTCGACTACTAATTATTGTCCTTAGGGAAGACTTGACTGCTTGTGACAATTTTGGATTCAGTCGTTATTTTTAATATTTTTGAATCAAAATTTCTCTCAATACTCAGTTGGTATCTAGATTGCCCATTTACATTTTTTTTTGAAATTTTAGATACCAACCATTAAAATAGTATGGCTTTTTAACCTTCAGTAGAATTCTTGTGACAGCACGCCCCCCGCTGGGGCAAAGTGTCACAGTATCACAAAATTAAAGAAAATAAGAAATCAAAGGGTTGCATTCAGAAAAAGAAGTTACAGTTACGAAGAAGTACTACAAACTAGTATTGATAATATCAAGTTCAAGTTAATTTTGTCGATTGGAAAACGGTGAGCTTTATTTGTCATTTCTATTAGTTATGTCTTTGTTTTCAATCGTATTTGTCAGCACATTATTAAGAGCTGGTGTTGTTTTACACGTTAAAAACGGGTCAGATTAGGTTACATATCCTACACTACAAATTAACAATTTCTTAGGAAAAGATAAGTAAATTCTGTGGTGACAGCTTTTATTTAGACAGCTCTGGAAGTTAGAGAACCAATTAAAATCAACAAAATATCTCCGCCATTGCATTCCATCATGAAATGGGGTTTTTAAGTATAGAGTTTTTGCACGAAATTATTCGTTTTGGGTTGGGTAGCAAACACCTCAGATGAAAGGAGATCTCTTGAGTAAACCAGGGGAGTAAAAAGGCTACAATTCATAGGTAACCGCTGAGCTAACTGAAAGAATATTTTTCAATAATTTTTACGATACAGTTTTCAGGTTGCAATTTTACTTTAAATAAAAAGCAAGGTAAATTCTGAATCAATTAATTTCAGCAGGGCATTAATGCCAACCCCCAGATGCACGTAATAACAACGAGAGTGATGGTGGACCCAGATACATACTAACACATTTCCAGTTCCATTTGTGTTGCAATTTTATAACCTTACACCGTTTGTCTATAGTATGTAAAGTCAGCGGTAAGCGACCAGCGATAATATTATGTAAATTACCAATACAAAAAGGAAGAGGCCTCCAACAGGATACTCAATTGG